ACATGCACTCCTGAGGGATATGAGTCAGACAAAGAGAGCGGAGGAGCACGGGGAAAAGGATGTGTACCTCCAAGCGGAGTACCGAAGCAGCAGCCCACCCCGACAGCACAACCGACCGTCAGGATGTCTGTGTAACAGTATGGATTCTACTGATCCAGAGAGGAGGAGGAGTCAGCATTGAAACAACATATAAATAAGGAATATTCAATCAGAGGGGAATTCGAGTGTTTCCTGACATCAGCTTACCTGATAAACTCCTGAAAAAAAGGACATGAACCTGCTGAGAACTGCTGCACAGATGCTGGCGATGTGAACAAACGGGCCCTGGGTGCAGGAATGGAGCATAAAAAGAAAAAGGTTGATAAAATGAAACAATGCAATGGTTCGATTAAACGAAACAGCCCGCGAGAAGCTTTTTCATTTATCTGGGCTGACCCACCTCTTTGCCTACAGGCATGCCGCTGCCCAGAGCCGCCGTCAGACCAATGACTTTGGCGATGAACGCCTTCAGAGTCAAATACTCCTTTAGTACCACCCCTCTCAGGATGGTCTTCAACTCTGGTATACCAGAACCTAGAACAGAAGGGTTATATAACAAAATAATAATAATAATAACTGTTATGAACCTTTTATGACTCGACACACTTTCTTAACCTTACTCTTGTCTCAGATGGCTTTGGTGCTGCTGTTTTCTGAATAATTTGTTGCAAATTATCAATTAATTTTCATTCAGGGCATCAAACACTTCTACAAGTGGCATTTTATGTCAAATGCTGCTTGCAGAAATAATTACAAGTTTTCCTTTGCAGTTAGTGATGCTTGAGGGAAAAAGCTACAAAAAAATTCCACATTTGCAGGTTGGAGAAAGCGTCAAAAGTTTGCCAGCCAGGAGACTGTGGTTCATTTATGTTGTGTGTTTGTTTCACTTGGTGGATTCTTTCTTTTTCTTCATTGTGCCTGCTGTTTAGGTTTAGACATCAAATCAAATCCACCGTATTAACCATGTGAAGCACAATATTGATTGCACACAAATGTGAGAGGTATTTTACAAACGTCCATATGTCCCAAGCAGAGATGGGCAGTAACGCGTTACTTGTAACACCTTACTGTAATCTGATTACTTTTTTAAAGTAACGAGTAAAGTAAGGGATTACTATCGCAAAAACGGTAATTAGATTAC